CCCACTTTGTCCATAACCACGTGAAATGACTGAGTTTATTATTAAGGAGTCTCTAATACTCTTAGAAACCCGATTCTCCGCTAAGTCAGGAAGATGTATGTGCTTTAAATCTTTAGTAGATCTGGTTTGGATCAGAAGAGGGAGGTTAACAGAGCCGTATCTTCACTGAGCAGCTGAAAGTGAAGTAAAACAGTCCCTGTGTGGTTGCAGCCGCTCGTGATTTACAGGGCTGAATTCACAGGGCTGCTCCTGCTGCCGAAAACGCACGCTCTCAACCGCTGTTGATTTTTGAATTAAAAAAATGCAGCTCTATTCACAGTTTACTTTATTGCCAGAGGGCAGGGAAATATAGGTAAGAGCCGTTAATCCCCAGCAGGCTGCTGGGCAGGCGAACAGACGTAGATGACAAAAGTTAATTGGAAACATGAGCAGTTTAACAGAAAACATATTTGTGATAATTGAGAGAGTAACGTCTCCAGAAAGGAAACTCTGCAAAGAGAAACTTCAGAGGAGAAGTGGCCACTGGTAGGTGAGTGTGATTTTTCAAGCTCTCTTTAAGCTCTGAACTAATTTCTTAACAAGTAGCATTAAAAGGAACTAAATCAATAAAAGATTTGCTTTCTCTGAGGGGGGAGGGCTGTACAGTTGCTGCCACTAGTTTCTCTTACAGCTGGATTAAGATATGTGATATGCTTAATTTAGGTTCATTGTATAAGGACACAATTGGTTTGATTTCTATACATGGAGTTTTCTTCTGCCTTTTGCATATGAAGATCTCATTCCCCCTCCCTCAATAACTAAAAGGACTTCAGTTTTAATTTTTTCCTTACTCTTGCATTTTGTTTTAAATGTTTGAGGTTTTTCTAAGAATCAAACTTGGACAGCAAATATTTTGCCAAAAGCAGAGGGAACCCTTAGTTAGAAAATCGTGCTGTGTTTTTAGTAACGAAAAAGAATTATGAACTTAATAAGGGAGAACACATTGCAAAACAGATTTTGGGTTTGATTGGAGGAGATTCTTTTTTTCTTTTTTTTTTTTGTGAAACAGCAAGTAAATGTAAATTACATAGTAGGAGCGCATTGGTGTTCTGCTGGGTAGAAAAAGAAAACTGGCTTTTATTTTCTTTAAGTGATACTGATGTTGAAAATAGTGATATATGTCTACCTTTTTCATGCTATTAGTGTAAGTTTCTGATGTTTCATTACAGAAAGAATCTCAGACTAACTATAATACCAGGTACTACTGTATTGGGTTTTGGGTTGACTTTTGTTTGTTTGTTTGTTTGTTTTTTTCTAGAGCCTGCAGACAGTACAGCCTCCCAGCCCACAGGAATGAATGAAAATGTCTCATCCTCAGTTCAAAGCTGCAGTGGTACTGTTAGTTGCAATAACTCATCAGCCATCCCTCAGCCCAGCTCTGCTATTAAACCTTGGCGCAGCAAGTCCCTTAGCGCTAAGCACACAGCTACGTCTTCCATGTTATCCGTAAAGCAGCCCGTATCAGAGCCTCCGAAGCCACTGTCGGAAATCGCAAAAACAACTCCCAACGGTCAAAAATCCATGCTTGAAAAATTAAAACTCTTCAATAGCAAAGGAGGCTCCAAAGCAGGAGGGACAACGCTCGAGTGCCCAGGGTCTCGGGACAACAGTTGCGAAAAGCTAGAGACACTGCTCAGCTTTGAGGAGAGCGAAGAAATTGATGCCACAAATCAGAATGTGAACAATCCGGGATCGATGTCCAGCAGTCCCAAAATTGCACTCAAGGGAATCGCACAAAGGACTTTTAGCCGGGCGCTAACTAACAAGAAAAGTTCTCCAAAGGGTAATGAGAAGGATAAAGAGAAACAGAAAGAGAAAGAAAAGGATAAAAGTAAAGACATTGCAAAGAGAACATCTATCACGGAAAAGCCGGAGGTGAAAGAGGAACCAAAAGAAGAACAGACAGCACTAGCAACAACAGAGATGCCAAAAAAGTCCTCCAAGATTGCAAGCTTTATCCCTAAAGGAGGAAAGCTGAATAGTGCCAAGAAGGAGGCCTCTGCCCCTTCACAGAGTGGAATACCAAAACCAGGAATGAAAAACACCACAGGGAAATCCTCAAGTGCCCCCGTTTCCACAAAGGAAGGTGAGAGAAGCCGCAGCGGGAAAGCCAGCTCGGGGCTCTCTCATCAGAAGTCTCAACTGGACAGCAGGCATTCCAGCTCCTCATCCAGTCTAGCCTCTTCAGAAGGAAAAGGCATAGGCGGCCTCAACAGCAGCAGCAGCAGCCAAGCTGTCAACGGACCCACCGCAACGACACACACCACCGGGAGCAACACTGTGAGTGTTCAGCTACCTCATCCCCAGCAGCAATACAGCCACCCGAACACTGCCACGGTAGCTCCCTTCATGTACAGGTATGGCCAACTTCTCCAACAGAGACGCTTAGATAGAATCATAGAATGGTTAGGGTTGGAAGGGACCTCAAAGATCACCTAGTTCCAAGCCCCTGCCATGGCAGGGAAACCCTCCACTACACCAGGTTGCCCAAAGCCTCGTCCAACCTGGCTTTGAGCACTTCCAGGGATGAGGCATCTACAACTTCTCTAGGCAACCTGTTCCAGTGCCTCACCACCCTCAGAGTGAAAAATTTCTTCCTAGGAAATTTTCCTAGATAGGAAGGTTTGTTTTGGTCACTCTTTCTGGGGGTGAGGCAGCAAGATGAAAGCCACATCACATAAAAGTCTCTTGCTTTAAGAGAGTACAAAATTTATACATTTACACAAAAATCATTGGTGAAGGCTGTCAAACTAAGATGTATAAGAAGTTGTGATGGATAAGAGGGTGAATAATTGTTGTATCCAACCCTACTAACAGTTAAGATGAGAATGCTAACACCTCCTTGACCAGCTACTGCTCTTGCCTTTTTTTGTAATGTGTAGATTAGGTTTGTTTATGCATCATAGCTTTAAAAGTTGTGGCGGCGCCAATTTATGACATAGATACACTCATTCTCTTCAGTGTGGCTAACAGTCGTGGAGATGCCTCACTATAAGCAGTAATGGGAAATCTTAAAAAAATGAAATAAAAATCCTTTAGCGTAGGTAAGGCCAGGCACAAAGTCTGCTGTTCTATACATTAACTTTGAATTAGATAAGCAAAAGAACAGCCAACGGGGTCACAATGAACCTCCATCTAGTCCAGCGTCTTCTGTTTGACAATGGCAGTAGTTAATTTCACAATGACAATGCACAGCTAAGAATACCAAGATGGAGCTCAATAACAAAGCTTCCTGAGGACACGCTCCCCAGCCTAACCATGACACAAGAAATTCCCCAGTCAGATGATGGGATTTTTGGTTTTGACAGCCATCTCCCAGTTTTCTTTGACACCACTTGATTCTTTCATTGGAAGAGAATGGAAGCAGTTGTTCTGTCTCCATCATCTTCATGCTGCTCATGATTTGAGAGACCTCTATCATATCCTCCTGTCCCTTAAGATGTGTCCTTTCTAGGCTAAGGTGTCCTAACCTGTTCAGTTTTTGCTTGTAGAGATGCTGTTCATGCTCTTTGGTCATTTTTGTCACCCTTTTCTGTCATTTTTCATTTCTACTATGCGCATTTTCACCTTTGATCTCTTGGCAGATGTACTGTAAGAAACTGTTGGCCATGTTTTTTAAATAAAAGTGAATGTAAATTGAATTAACCTGAAAGAGAGGGGTGCCAAAGGCCTATATAGGAATGCAAAATGGGAAGAGCAACCCTTGAGTCTTCTGACCTTTTGAGTGTTCTCCTTCCATGTGTATGGAATAAAATGCCAGGTGTCCTTCTGGTATGCGGCGACATGGAAGTGAACTGGCTGGGCAAAAATAATCTGGACTAAAACTTGCATTAATAGTACATATTCTGGATTTCCCTTGTTCTTGCATTCGTCTATGTACGTCAGCATTATTGTTGCATCTTTGGCTGAAGGCGGGATGTACTACTAGTAATTTTTTGAGGTTTATTTTGAGTTAAAAAGTGCCAGTGTAGTTTATACTATTTTAATCCATAATTTAATAGAAAATTGTGATTGCAAACTGGTTGCTTTATTGTTTATGTTGCATAACCTGCAAAAATGTGTACAGGGTGCCCTGGGTTGTTAAGTTTATCACTACAATGTCCTATCAAAAGATAAAGTAAAAAGTACTCGCTGTTCATCTTAGTTTGAATAAAGATATCATCATCTACAGTGTAAAAGCAGATGCAACCCATATGTTTTCTGTAATCCAAACATGCTGATAAACTTTAGGCAGTATTTATTTGAATTTTTACAAAACACTGTAACGAAACTACCTATTGGCAGCTGGAGAAAATGCTGATAAATTGAAAAAATAGTCTTTACTTTTCAGCATTGGAGGAAAAAAGTCCAAACTGTAGAGCTGGCTTTAAAAAGAAAGAGAAAAGACAAATTGTATTGATTTGCAAGACAAGTACATATATAGCATTATTGTAAATTTACTATCCAGACACTTTTTAAATCCACAAAATGCACTTGTTAATGCATTGCAGTAGTAGTCTCAAGTTTTTCCTGCTTTCAGTTAAGGTTACTTTAATATAAACTTTTCAGCTGTTTATAGACTTCATTTTTGTGTTGTGTTTTTTTTTAAAAAAAAAAAAAAACATAAAAAACATGAGAATTTGTTCTACATTTCATATGGGGTCAATTGAAATTAAGAATATTACAATAGTAATTCTCTGCTGTGTCTTCGCTTTTGTACAGCACTTACCCTTTGGACAGGAGATCTTCCAGCCGCTTGTTGATGTGGCTTCACGAGCAAAACACGGTGCAACTAGTAAAATGAAATGAGTCAAGATATAGTACTCGGATCTGACAATAGATTCTTATGACATCACCTTTCATTACCTGACAGCCACAATGTCAGACAATAAGTTGAAGTTTGAAGTTGGTTTTACCCAGTTGTTTGTTTTAATATACCAATGAGTGACGTTGCTAGTTACTGAAGGGAAACTAGCAGGAGCGTAACATGCCGTCACTCACTACCTGCTTTATATTTATGCAATACAGATTTTATTAGAGAGGATCATGTTAGCCACAACAACTGATGTTATTGATAATTAAAATTTAGCTGGAAATCCAAGTGCCTTAAGACTCTGTGTGAAGAGCTGTTAAGCCTGTCTTTGACTATGAATTTTTTATTTTTTACAGCTGAGTGCTTGTTTCCATTTCTAGGACATAATTCAACATGGGACTAATGAATTATGTAAAGTCAGTCTGCTGGTCTATTCTGGAGAGAGGGACAAAGCGGCTGATGGCGGGTGCAATTGTCTAGTTACTATATTTGAGATACTTTTGATGGAGAGTGAGTGCACATCTCTAATTTTGTTTTGCCTTCCAGATCGCAGACGGACAACGAAGGGAACGTAACGGCCGAGGCCAGCACAGGAGGGGTCAACATGGATTCTGCTCTTTATGTCAAAAGTGGACAGGCTGCTCTCGAAGACCTCTCAGGTATGTCTTGTGACACAACTTACTGACTGTGATCCGGTGAAATAAGAATGGGCTAAAGCAAGTTTAAAGTCAGGAGCTCCCTCTTTAGGGGGGATTTATTTTGGTTTTATTCCTAACTCTTTAGTTTTTATTAGTTACGATATTTTTTTCAGCTCTTCAGCGATGGAAACTGGGTGTCAATCGTCTGAATACTAGATGCTCAAGTTCTGCACAATGGTGTAACCCTCAAATTTCTTAAAATTCTTAGGAATTCTGAGTACTTAATATTTTTCTAGATGTGCAGCACCTTTTAGAATTAAGCTATTATAAGGATCTTAAGTATTCCCAAACATTTGATATTTTTTTTTTACTTTTTAAACCTTTGCTTCAGAGCTTATAGAAGAGATTAATTTAATGTCCTTGATGTTTTTGTTCATTTATAGGTTTAGAGGAATCTCAGCATTTGCTCACGTGAATCTGGTCAAATCAATATAACAAGGCAATTTTTAGCAACCATATTCTACTAAAGATCTAAAATGTGTTTTTTAATGTCACAGTCACATCTCCTATTCCAGTTTCAGGAATGTCTGTGACTTTGCTTATTGCATACTGTTGCAGTAGAATATCTCAGGTTTTCCCATCTGCTTAGTCTTGGTGTGCTCCAGTTTAATGTGAGTTTTCAAAGTGATTGTCCTGCTTGGAAAAATCATGTGGCTAAAAGTTTGACAACTGGATTGATTTCATACTGCATTACATATTCTGTCAGTGCTGTGTTTATACCTGTGTGCACATATGCTGATGGCAAAGCCAAGAGTCAGAGTCACGGGTGAGGAAAAGGGCTGCCGGAATGCATAAATGAGCATGTCTGTGTGTATGATTTATATATAGGTGGATTAAATATTTGAAAGACAAATAAATGGCACGTGAGATAAAATCCTTGACAACATTTTTGGGTTCATATTTAAATATGAGAGCCTGTTCAAAGTAAGAAATACAGTGTCCAGCTGCTTAAACTTTTTCAGTATTACCTCTTAATCGTGGTATTGCCTTGCCTAGATGTATTGCAGCCTGTAAACTGAGAAGTGCTTATAGATCACAAAAAGTCTTTAGTCTTTAACAATAGATGTTATGTAAATGCAAACTTATTATTCAAGTAGAATATGTAAGTTTTGAGATCCAAAAATGGAAGAGAGCTGACAACCTCAAACAATGGAGAGGCAAAACCCAGCTGCATGTAGCCAAACCCTACGGAGAGCCGCAGTCCATAAAGGAGTCTTAGGGGAAAAGGAGCAAACAAAACAAAATAGTCCCTCAGCCCAAATAAATTAGAAGAAATAAGGGACAGATTTCTTCTCACCCTTTGTAACAGCAATTGATGCTTTTAATTTAAAATGAAACAAAAGAGAGTAAAGGTAGGGAGAACTGAAAGCTGAGTAGTTTAATGATTCTGCCTATTCATGAAGAGCTAAGTGATTTAATAATTAAGTTCTAGTGGCACTAGACAATGTCTGTCTTTTAAGTATACTTAAAATTTAAGCAACTGAATGTCATAGAAGTAAAAATATTGTATCAATTTAGGCATAAGAATGATGTCAATAGAAATTGGTTTGGCTTGTCTCTATGTGTGTTCTCTTGAGCAGTTATCTCCCGTTTGCCTTCACAGCTATGAGAGAAACGATCTGTAAAAGAGCACTGTGACCTTTCTTAGGCTAAAGGCCTATAAATATTTTATGTTCTTTACTGCAAAAATTTGTAGTTCCATGAATGTAGAAAATATTTTCTGTCCCAGAGACTCGTTGGCTAAAGGAATCTATCTTGTCAGGCGGCTGTTTCCAATCCAGCCAGATCATAATTGTTTGACCATTTGGCCTAAGTGAATTGTATCTCAGGGAGATTATTTCTCAGAGAGTAGAGACCCATTAAAAAAAAATTGCTAACATGGACACTACCTGAGCCATTGTTGTTTATCTTGAAAAGGCTAATGATGGTATAAGCATCAAAAATCTATCTTCCCCTCCCTAGATAGTTCCCCGTAGTTGGGTTTCCAGCACTTTGGTGAGTAGTTTATGCTATTGCTGCTTTGCAGGCAAGAATACATGACTTGTTTTTTCTGTGCCACTGACCCGACATCTTTCAGAAACATGAAGTTTAAAGCAAAGAATGTGGAATGTTCCAACAACAGAAAATCTACAGCTTATTTATCTGTTCCTTAATGCTTCTGATTTGTATAACACACAGATAGGCATCTAAACTAGCAATCACATGGATGACCAGTATCCTGGCAGCTTAAGAAAGCGTCACTTGGGCGAAGAAGGCTGGTATAAAATTTTAAAAATTTTAAATTTTCTGTAGCATTTTCTTTAGTCGTGAGTTGTAAACCCTCTAGAATGAATTTGTTTTCTTCTCTGCCCAACAGAAGTTTTGTGACAGCTTTTTGGAGGTTTTCTGTTTCAGCATTCACCTTACAAAGAATATGTCGGCACTACTAGAAATTAACTTCTCATCAACCTCTTAGAAGGTTTAACTATATAAAGCTCAGCTGAGTTAGCAACCAAAGCATTTAATTGACAACTGAGAGCAAGTAAATAAATTATGCTGAGGCACTAATTAAATTATTAATTGTATAAAAATAAATTATGCTGAGGCGCTAGGAGGATTTTTTTTATTGTATGTAAACTCTACTTTTAGAGTTAAAGAACAGGACATGAATGTGTTTTAGAACAGAGTGTTTCTGAATGCCAGGGAAAGTAAAAGTCACGCCCTGATTTTGTGTCATGTATCAGATGAGAGTAACGATAACTGTGTTGTGCTGTGGACAAGCAAAAACAGTTGCTAATTTACCTAAAGTGTCACTCAGCATGTGTTGACACCCAGTTAACACAATTTAGTTTGCTTGAAAGCCGCTGTTGTAGGATGAAATCTATTTAAAATAGGAAAAAGAAGGTCTAGTGAAAATACAGCATTGGAGAAATTGGCTGTGTCGAGTTGATGTTAATTGTATCAATATATGAGATGGAAAGGGTGGTATTGATGGAGTAGATCTTCTAATGAGGTTGAAAGTTAACCAGGATTTAAATTGGGTCATATGGGGAAACAACGACGCAGAAACATCTGGTGGAAAGGCAGCCTGTGAAATAAAGTTAGTACAGAGCTCGTTCTCAGTCCGGCTGCGGTTTTTTTAGGGAAATGGTATCTGCATCGTAATCAGTTTAGAGTGTTAAATAACAGAAAGTCAGAAAAAAATGTGTTTGAGTCAGATGCCAGCAGTGGTAACAGGTCAGTTCTGCGTTGTTTCCTGCCTTATCCTTTCGAATGGTTTATTTTCCCTGTAGGAGAGGATCCAGAAACTCGGCGGTTACGAACTGTGAAAAACATTGCTGATCTTCGACAGAACTTAGAGGAAACGATGTCCAGTTTACGGGGAACTCAAGTCACTCATAGGTAATAACATTACTTTGTTTATAAGAAAATGGAAATCGTTGTGCTCTTACTTTACATCTCTCAGATCTGGCTGAGTTGCATCCTTGAAAAATTATTAATGCTGACAATGGAAGATACTGATCTTGTACTTTTTGTCTTTAAAGCACAGATTCTGAACTGTGTTCAGTGTTTATTGAGATGAGTAATTGGTGGTGGCAGGTTGCGTGTAGAATCAAAGGTGGAGAATAATCAGTGCTTGTTAAATGCGTTAGGTGATGTTTGAATACAGGTTACAGTTTAAAATATTTTTTTGTCTTAGTCTTGAACAACTTCAGTGCATTACACCCCTCTCCCCCTATGTGTAATGTTTTGTTTAAATAAGCAGGTGAACTGTGCTTGACCCACTTTATCAAGTGCATAACTTGAATTCCTGACCAATCTTTGGACAAACAAGTATTTCTAATATTATTAGTCATCCATGTATTTAACTGCTTTTTCTTTGTAAAGCAGCGTTTGGAAATCTGCAGCAATATTTAAAATATGCTCTAAATAAACAGAGACTGTTATTGCATTTAAACATTCTGTGACTCAGATCTTTTCAGTGTCAAACAGAAGACTTGGCAGAAGAAGCTCTTTGACCCCTAATGAGGTCGGGGTCCTACTTGGTGTGCGGTGCCTTACGGACTCCAGCCCTAAATGAGGTCGTTGGGGGAATACCTTGTGTTTTGGCTTTGTATCTAAAACTGAGGCAGAGCTTGCAAAGATGAACTCCCAATGCTATTTTTCTTTTCAAATTTCAATTAATGTGACAGCTGATTATGATCTAATCACTGTCACCAGAGGATACATAGGTTTTTACAGCATGTATGTAGCATTGTATTGCGAATAGTACAAAGCTACTTATTTTAACAAATATCCACAATAAAAAAAGAAATAACACTGTTAGTTGAGCAGAGAAGGAAAAGGGGAGCTCGTGTGGGTAAAAGAAGTTGCAGCTGTGGATTCGCTGAAACTAAAGGAGCTGCAACTAAGCTGCGAGTGTAGGGTCTTACAGTCTATACACGTCACCTGAAACCTCATCGTGTAGCTGTCCCGTTTCTAAGGTTCCAGTTAGCAGCCTGCCTTTAATTCAAATGCATTTATTTTTTTAAGCATATTGGAAAACACTTTTGACACCAATGTCACTGCCGAGATAAGTGGTCACAGTCTTCTCAGACCTTATTAGCGTTCCTCTTGGAAGGGATGCAACATTCACAGTCTCAGAAATGGAGAATGGAAGATTTCATATAGCTGACGCTTGTCAAAAACTGTTTACAGGCTATGACCTAAAATACTTTTGTAACCAGAGCTCTGTATAAATATTATCAATATTTTGAAAAATATAATCAATTCATGAATATAAAAAATACATTTTGAAAAATAAATTTGTTTTGCCTTTCTTCGTATTTTTTTCATTTAATCCTTTCCTCGGTGTAGAAAAACCTCCCGTCGTGGTGCTGGACCTGTCTCCAGAGTATTAGGACTTTGATGAATGCAGCCAAAAAAAGAAAACATATCAGAAAAATAGGACTTAAGTTGGTTTTCCTTTGGTCAGTTTAATATCCTACTGCCTTGCCTAGAGCAGCAAAACCATGGGTAATAGAGTTATATAGGACTGAATATGAAAAAGTTATGCTTTGATACTATGAATAATCCATTAAAAAGTACCTACTGAAGTCTTCTCACATGTTTGTTGAGTGCTTGGTGGCCTGGGTGCAAGAGTATCATTATTTACGACCCGTGTTGGAGGAATGGACCTAACTCTTCTCAAGGCGTTGTAGCAGGTAAATTCTGTTAACATGGTTACTTACAGTCTGTAACTTGGTGAGTGTTCAGGGTGTAGGGTCTTGGAATCACCGGCAATCTCACGGTGCTCCATAGGCAGGCAACGTTTAATCGAATGCATTTCTTTTTATTTTTAAGCACATTGGAAACTACATTTGACACCAATGTCACTACCGAGATCAGCGGCCGCAGCATCCTCAGCTTGACGGGACGACCGACCCCCTTATCGTGGAGACTGGGGCAGTCCAGCCCCCGCCTGCAGGCAGGCGACGCTCCGTCAATGGGAAACGGGTATCCTCCGCGAGGGAACGCCAGCCGCTTCATCAACACGGAGTCGGGACGTTACATGTATTCGGCGCCTTTGCGGAGGCAACTAGCATCCCGTGGTAGCAGCGTCTGCCACGTGGACATCTCAGACAAGGGAAGTGATGAAATCGACCTAGAAGGCATCACCATGGATGCCACTGGCTATATGAGCGATGGGGATGTGTTGGGCAAGAATATCAGAACTGATGACATCACAAGTGGGTAGGTGCCTTTGCTTTTCTTCTTAAGTACTATACTTTATGTGATTCTCGTGTCGTGTTAAATGATGCTGTATTCCTGTAATTATTTGGAGAAAGAAAAAAAACCACACAAATATATTGTACTGGTTTTAATAAGCATTTGGAGGGACAGCTCATTATCACAGTTAATTTAGTCAGGGAGATTTAAGCATATGATTTAAGTTTTAAGTGAATGTTAAAAAAATCTTCCTATATATGAACATACTCGTGCACATGATTAAATGTTTTCCAGAATCAAGAGTTCACGGTGGTCAAGTCAAACACATGCTGCAACATTCATTTACGCCCACGAGATGGAGAGAGTGAGGCATTTGCTGTACTTCTACTGAATCTTTTTGCTGCTTGAACTTTTAGGGCACAGTTCACTGGAAGGGAATGAGTTTATACCTCTGTGTAGGGTAAAATAGTTGTACATGCAAAATAAAGTCTAAAGAACAAGTTAGTGTGTTCATATTTCACATAGAAATATGAACTGATAGACAATTATTAACCAGATTTTACATCAACATTTTACTTCTGCCTTGACTGGGAAATGCATTTGTTCTTTGCTGCAGCGTCAGTATTCAATTCAATATGTCAATTTTCAATTGCTTCTAGAAAGTACAATCATTCTTTTTCTTAGCTCAAGTACATCAGCATTAGATTGATGTTAAAACTGATCTTTGAGATGAAAATGGCATATTTATTTTTGAGGCAGCCTTTGCCCTGTCTGGCCATCTTAGAACCTTCGCTTTTCTGTAATTTTTTAGTAAGTAACATTTCTTGTAGCATTAGCTTATTTGGAAGATTTAATGTCTCTTACTGAAATAGAAAGCTGGAATCCAGCTGCTGCTTTGTCACTAACTTAACCAATCAAGTTACACAATCTGGAAACCTCCATTAATTCTGTCTGGATGTTTTCACACTGTTCTTTTTCAAGAACCAGACACTTTATTTTAAATTCTTTGTTATGGAAGCATATAGTAAAGAAGCTGATGCAAAAGCCACTGTAAAACTTTGTTTCAGATAAAGCACAATGTTGCTGCATTAATAATACATCATATCAATAAAGCACCTTGTGTTTTCCTCAAATAAATCAGCTTATAGCTGAGTTTTGCAATGTTTGTTGTAGTAACAGTTATTGCTTTTTCTCTGGACCATGACTTTCGTTCAAACTCATGGCTGTAATTTTGGTGTAGAAGTGAGGAAAATAAATTCTGAGTAGTGCCATGGTTTCTATAAAACACCTAGAATATGAGCTGAGAAATGTCCCTGGCAGATTTGTGTCAGTTCAGGCTTCTGCTGCTCGTATTCTAGAGGAGCCCCAGTCTCTGCACATCTTTACTTAGTGTATAAAGTTCAGATTCGAGATTGAGGAAAAGGAAAGAATAAGCAAGCTGTTGAGTTTATGAATTAGATTTCCAGAGAAATTTGTGGCTTAACTCATCTCTGTGTATCATTTCCTTTTCTATATCTGTCTGGTCATCCTGTAGAGTGAAAAAATGGAAGTCTCCATAGTTGGAAAATACAAGCATGATCTTTAGGTTCTGGATCTAAGGGACTAATAATGTAATAAAATGCTTTTCCCAGTTGTTACCTCTGTCACCAAAGGAGTGAGTTACATACCAAGAATAATAGCAAGAACGGTGGATATAACTTTTAGCAGGAGAGTCTCATACTTCGCAACAGCTCACTCCTAGTTTTGAGTGTTAGAATGTCTTTAACTGAGTACCCAACTCTTATTTCCCACTTGTTTTTGAAGGAGGAAGATAACTTCCAGTTTTTACTCATATAATCAGCCACATATCGGTAAATGAGATTTCAATCTATAATTCTTAGGACAAGAGAGTTATGTGTACAAATGTCTCTTTTCCACATTTTTTGCCTTTAGCTACAAAAGCCTGTTTCACTAACTAATGTGAGTTGGTTTAGTGATTTATATAGCACCGTTGTGATCATTGACTAAGTTCCAAGGGCAGAATCTGTACTGTAGGTCAATCCATCGGAAAGATCCAGCTCCATTTCCAGGTTGTGGACAGGGTTTGCAAGTTAGGTGGTTTGGAGATCCTCCCGTTGCTGCGCCAGTGGGCATTTGAAGGGAACGTTCCTGAAAGCAGCCTATAATGTTGGAGTTACATAGTCTTTGGAAAGTAATCGTGTGTGTGGATTCCCCGAGAAGGGAGCGTTGCAATACTGAATAGCAGTAACACTGCTGGATATAATCCCAGTATTGATGGAGAGAAATAAAAAAATGAGTGTGTTACCTTTGGTGAATCTCACTGACACCTAATAATGCTGGATTACCATCTTCAGTATGAACAGATGTTTTGGTAGTCTGTTTCGTGAGTTATCTTCCCCAATGTCGGTTTATTCCCAATAATAAAAAAAAAAGGATAGCATTGTGTCTTTGTGGGAGAGGAACGGCACACTGCTTAGAAATCAGAGAGGTTTCTTATAAAGAAAGCATCCATGTGACTTACTGCAGAACAAATCTCTGAGATGAGTGTTAGGGCAAACAGGCCTAATGTTTCCAGAAGCTGAGTTACAGTCAGCACAAGAGGGCATTTATAGCATGAATAGCTCTTTATTAGCTGGTACGTGTTTCACTTTGTCATTTTTCAGAATTGCTACAATCCTGCAGTCTGAAAACCTTGGATCTGTGTTTTCATTGGCAAACTGATAGGGAAGGAAGCCAAAATATTTGTTACAGCCAAAATAAATCCAATAGCCAAGATAAACTATTTTAGCCCTGTGATCCTGATACTTTCTCTGAAATGTACTGGGTCATGGGAAGTTTCGTTTGGCCTCCTGTAATCTACTAAAGCAGAGCTCTGGCAGACACCAAGATTGCTTTCATAGGATTAGAAGGAGTATCTTTTCCAAATGGGCAGAAAATATCTCTTAAACTAAGAAAGTCTCCAGGGTGTGGATCAAAGGTAAGAAGTGGTCTTATTGTGAGAGCTCAAACATCAACAGAATGACAAAGCAACTTTGGCAGTAAGGTGGGTGAGCTTGAGGCATCGGAGCCTCATTAGAAACCAGCACCTCAAAGCCCAGAATTGTCTCACCTATCCACTCCAAAGATTGCTCCAGGTGGAGACATTAACTCCCATGACTTTTGGGGGTTTGTTCGGAAGGTTTTGTCCACTTCAGTCTTCCCCTAGCTACTAACACACACTTTCCTACCTCTCTGTCCTTTTTTCCCCCCAGTTCTCTTTCATGAGATGTAGTGTTAATTTCCTTTTTGTCTGTCCTTGGAATGGAGCAACAGAGCTGTTGGTCAGGAAGGCCTTTTTAAATTATTTTCTTTTAATTTAATTAATCCTCTGCCCTTGTTTTGATTACCCTAGTGTGCAACTTTCTATGCAGAATTAACAGCATGGATAGACCAACTCGCACTAGTCACAAATTTTCTCAGGAAATGGCTTTGGGTCTGCAAAACACAGCTTGTCAAAACAACTTTTTGCCAAAGCATGGTTGTTCCAGCAATGTTCCAACAAAATGTACATTTGATGATTTGACAGCTTGGCCACCCTAGTGCCTGAAGTCCAAGAAGGGAAGATGTCAGCAGCCCCATGCATGGACCATGGGTCAGCTGCATGCCAGGCTGGGCTTTAGGGTGCACCCAGCACACTCTTTGGAGTGAAGAAGGTCTTTCCATGAAGAACCTTACCTAGTGACTCTCTTATAACTCACTTACCCAGCCTAGCAGTGAACTACTCCCTCAGCTGTCAGATGAGGACAGAAGGGCTCAGCCTGCCTGACATGTTCAGGGGCCCTATGCTAAAGTTCTTCCTGCAGTGACCTCCTGTGGGTGCAGTAGCTGTTGTTGTGGGGGAAGACTTTTTACCGTTTTCTTAACTTCCCCATTTATTTGATGCTTTGAGACTGATACAGTCTCATTCCAGATCTCTATTTCCACAGCCTCTTGATGTGTTTATGTGCGTGATGTTCACAGGAGTATGGTTCCTTCTTGTTTATTCAAGCTTTTATGCTCCCTCTGGGATCTTTCTACAAGTGAGTTGGGAACATCAAGGAAAATATGCTAAAAGGGAGAGCAGGCCACTCTGGGCTGGGGAATCAGGCTTGTACTCCCTGCGTCTGCTCAGGTCGATCAAACTCCACACAAAAGCGTTGTGCCCTAGGTAGAAATCACATTTGTGGTGCAGAGGCCTGTCTACCCTTGAGTAACATGGACCAAAACTATCACTGAAAGAGAGTTCTATTGTAGACTGAAATTTAGTGGTTATATCTATTAGGAGACAGCGAAGAGTTGGATATGAAGAGCTGAAATTGAAGACTGAGTTTATTGAAGCGTAATTGATATTTGTAGGATTCTTGTGCCTTAGTAGCTTGATTTTTGTACTATTTTATTGTTCAGACAGTGACACATCTTGTTCAGGTCTCAGGGCTCGTATGTGGTGTAAGAGCCCTTCTCTTGGGTGGAGGTTTTAGAGAAAGAAAAGGAGGACTATGCAGTTTGCTGCTAATGAGAATTTGTTCCTGGTAACAGTAGTTAAGAGAAACCATTTCCTCCTAAACTGTCTGCAATAGGAGAGGTCACTGCTCCAGGAAGCGCGTCACTACCTAGAAATCAAGAGCAACTGAGCTAATCGTGGTCTGAATGAGAACCTGTTCACCCTGTGCATTGATTAAATGCTAGCTATAGTCTCTTCCAACCTATTTTTGCCATGGTGTCGTGGTTTAGCCCAGCCAGTAGCTCAGCCACCACAAGGTCGCTCACTTACCCCTCTCCCTCAGTGAGGGGGAGAGGAGAAACATGTAACAAAGTCCTGAGGGTTGAGAGAAGAACAGGAAGGGATCACCCACCAACCATGGCCCCGGGCAAAATGGACTCAGTTTAATTCGTTAATGGCTCATTCAGAGAGGA